GCCCTTACTGAACTGCAGAGATCTCTGTGCTGAGTTTCCAGGTCTGCACAGCTGCTATAGTCATTATGACAGAGTCCCGCTCTCCTTTTTAAATCATTCATTTAATTTATATTATGGAAAATGCAACATGAGGAGCTGAAACATGCAAAGATACATGGGAACACCCAAAACACCTAGGTGGATGGCAACAAAATTGGGGACTATTAGGCCCTGTTAACACTAGGGAGTATTCTAAATGCGCATCAAGCGTGCACAAAAGTGTGCACTGTGACGGTCGTTCACGATACATGCACAAATACGGAATGCGTTTGCATTGCCTTTACTAGGTAGTGGCACCAAGCACAAGCATTTTTTGCCGTGGAAGAACAAAACACGTCACCAAATTTGCAACATGAGGCGCCCAAGGACCCAATGGGGATGCAAGCCATATGCGGGGAACAGGGTCCTGATGTATGGGGGCCTCAATCTTGCTGTTGGAATCTCAGAAACAAGTAAGATGTCAGTGGTTAATTCATCCTAATTATTTCAGGATTTTTTCCTACTGTTTCTCCAGCAATCAAAAAAAATTAATTGTAAATTTTACATGCATATTCGTTCATGCCTCTAAAATAAAAAGGCCACTTGTATGATTCTGAGGAAGGGGGCTTGCCCCTGAAACGCGTCAATCTTGGCTGACTGCGGTCGGTGGACGGTGATGTGACCGGAGACTACCGTGTTACATGGTCGGGGATATACCATGTTGGGTTAACAGACAGTGTGGCCTCTCATTTGTTGTTAAAGCCTGATGAAAACGTTTGTTTGTGAATACTTTTATCCCTTGTTTTATTTATTGTAATAAACGATTACAAGGGCGCTCTGTTCCCATTAGTTTTCACTTGTATTAGAGGTTTACAATTTGTTTAAATATGTAATTAGCTATTCAGACATATATCTTAAATTAATTTTATCTTAATTAAAAACAAACAGATAAAATTGAGTTTCGTTAACCATCTTCTGCCTCTTACATCAGCAGCAATATGTGTAGGAAGTTCCCCCCCACCGATGTGTAGGAAGTTTCCCCCCCAAGAGGTTCCTTGTCTACCGCCTTTCCACCATCTGCTCTGTACTGGTGATAACATTCACAATGAATTGTTATCATTCTCTCTCTGATTTCAGGCAGTAAATGTTCCCTCCCATGAGTCGAGTCTTCAATATTTGTTTAATGTTGTCTTAATTAGTTTATAATTTCTAGACATATGTTAGTTCTTTTTATAATTAGCTGCAAATCTTCCACCCCCACTCCATGCTTCGTTATGTACGGGGATGATATCACAACGGATGGCTCCGCAAAAGGAAAAGCATAATGATATTTTTTTTTTCATTGAGGAGTCTATTAGTATTTGCTTATGGCAGATTTTTATATAGCACTGATAATGTACATAGTTCTTTACATCCTGTACATTTACAATCTCTGTCTTCGAGGAGCTTACAATCTAAAGGTGGCCATACACTTTACAACCATCGCAAGACCTTAGTCTTGCGATGGTTGTAAAGTAATTAAAAAAACGTACGATCTGCCCATCTTGGACAGGCAGATCGTACTTGCGATCATCCAATGACCGCAATGCTGAACGGGCAGTGTGCGCGTTGCCAGGATCAACATGTATTTTTCTCTACTTGCAGAAAATGTAGTTAGCATGGAAAAAGAAAACAAATGCAATTATTACATCTAAGGACTGGTAAGATGCAATATATTACATTTTTGTACTTGGGGTTCAATATGCTTTAAAGCTGACCTCCGGCATAAGTAAATATTATCTAAATAAAAGTCATGTGTGTTCTTACTGGAACCTTGGTATACTTTGTGCATTTCTTCTAGATCCATACTGTAATCCAGTGTGAAACATTCCCTTTCAGCAAGCGCTTCCTGTAATAAAGACCAGTCACCGCTGCTCTCTTTTCCTTCTGCAGGGTGACTGGTCTTGTATCCACCCCCTCCTATAGATTTCTGCAGGCAGTCTGTAGTGGGTGGAGTCTGCTGGGTCGCTCCCACATCTCTGCTCTCTGCACAGGCTGTGTACAGGACAATGATAAAGTCACTGCAAATTTTTCTAAGTAATATCCAGATTTGCTAAGGCATCCGGTGCCCACAAAGTGGATTTATTTCCTTTGTGGCTATTGGTGAATATATTTAGGTGAAAGTTTTTGAGTTTAGCTTCACGGCCTTGTTCACACCAAGCGCGGAACAGGTGCAGAGCGGTTACAGAACTGCGTCCAATGTATTCCAATGGTATTTTTTGCTCCAGTTCACATCGCAGCGTGCAGTTCCATAGCAGGTGAAAAAACTGCAGCAAGCCCTATTTTACCTGCTCTGGAACGCCTGCAAATGCATAAAAAATGCATGTAAATGCCTGGAACGCACTGAAAGCCCATGTTAAACTAAAAACTAGAAGAAAAAAAAAACGGCCCAGAACGCATCAAAAACGCGGCACAACCCACTGCACTGCGTGTGCAGAAACCTGGGCGGATCTGCTCTGCATTTTGTGTGAACAAGGCCTTAGTTGCTTATGTCCATCAGGCACTTTATGAGCCTGAATACAGTCACAAACTTTACAAGGGGCCACACAATCCCCAATAATTTTTAACCAATCAATTACATATCATTAGCAATGCAACAGGAAGACTAGGAACACTCAAAGCTGAACAGGAACACTTGATACCCACTGAGGGGGAAACAAAGCCAAAAGCAGGGGGATTTGACTGCCAGATCACATATATTATATCAAAAGTAGGGATGCACCGATATATCGGCCGAAAATGGCACTTTTGGCATAATGCTGAAAGTGCAATTTTCTGGCCGATACAGCGGTGCATCCATTCTTTCTTTCCTCCCCTCTGGGAGCTGCTCTGTGTCCCAACGGGGAGGAGAGAAACTGTCACAGGTGGCCGAGCGCAGAGGGAGGAGAGCGCTGTGAGCAGCCGGCATCTCTCCTCCCCCACCGCTCAGAAAAGTTAAAATAAAAAACATTTTCGGTTTCGGTCTGATATTTTTTTTTATTTCGGTTTCGTTTTGAAATTTTCATTTCGGTGCACCTCCAATAAAAAGCAAAGCCCCCCAGAATCCATCTAGAATGGAATTATAATTTCTAGGTGGGCTGCCTTTCAAAGCATATGACAAACAATATGTGTTAAACCCCCCAGCACAATGCAATGCTGATCCTGCATCTCTGCGTGTTGTCGCAGTGACACGCCAGGCTAATTTTAGCTCATGAGGACACAGAGAATGAACCAATACACAAGAGACAGGGAATTCTGCTAACCTTCTGACTCATTCAGATTATTGAATTTTGCTCCGAGAAATACATTTTCATTTTTTTTATTGGAAAAATGTCTAGTGGCATTTGTGAAAACAACTTCGGCAGTGGTCACAGTATACATTTTTTTCTTAAAAAGAAAATACCTTGCCGTACAGAAAAATCCTGGAAAGTGACAATTTCTGCCCTTTCTATTGTTGGACGAGCTGAACCACACAGATAAAACGGCATACGATTATCACATAATGTCACAATTGCTTATTTTTAGTCCTGTGAGATATTGCTGTGTCACATCTTGCGTGGTTGTCTTCCTATTGTGAGGGATGTGGGTCATGATTGTACTTTATTAACATTTTGAATTTCTTGTTAATGTTCCCAGACGCTCGGCAATGTCCACTGGCAGTAATAGCGCATGGAAATGGAGGATTTGATCGGTCAGATGGAGCATGTTGAATAGAAAAAAAAAAGGACGAGCCTCCTATTTCCTGAGGTGTCTAGATGGGGCCAATAGGTGTCATAACTCTTCTTTCTTTTTCAGGATCAGTTTCCTCACAAGTTCTGTGATATGTGGTTTAATTTCCTCCACGGAAACTGTTGGACCCCAAGCATCTACCACCTTACCATCTGGACCAATCAGATACTTCCAGAAGTTCCAGTCCGGTTCTTTGCTGGAGGCCTCTGCAAAACACACATAGGTGGCATCATAACTACCAAATAATAAAGTGTGGATCACTCATAACAAATGGCACTTGTCAAAAGATATGTATTTCTGCTCAGCCAGTTTAGTAATCCCTGGCATGCCTGCCAGAAGTCAGAATCCCTGACCTCACTTTTCTCTACTGCAGTTACGCAGCACAGCCTGGTCACTTGCACCTGCTGGCTGGACAATGAGGAATCAGCAGCACACATCATAATTCTGCTCTTCTTCTCCTCCCAGAAAGCTCCCTGTGTTACAGTGACAGCACTGTGCAATGCAGGTGAGTCTGGTTTGCCTACAGTGTTGTCTCCTGGTCTGCTGCATGGGTTTACTTTCAGTTAATATACTTGTACTACAATGTATAAAACATTCTTAAAGTGACATTAAAGTCAAAGTCCCCCTTAAATTATGATCTTAATCCGATCATCTTCTTCTTTACTGTCCTTTTCAGCTGTCCCTCCAGCGCTAGTGCGGGTCTCCGATCCAGCGCTGACTCCTCTGTCCTTCTCTTCTCTGATGTCCCACTGTGTCTGCATGCAGGTGCACGCTGCTCCATAGACTTACCTTGTGTCTCTCCTCGTCTCCCGGCCGAACATCTGAAGTGCGCATGCGCCCGCCCCATGATCCTTCAGATGTACGGACGGGAGCGTGCGGCGAAGACACAGGTAAGTTTAAAGCCTTTTTAATTTACTACCCACTACTTACGACCCAAAGTCAGCACCTAGAGGGCTACTACCCGCAGAACTGTGCTGTAGCCGCGAAAGATTCCAATAATATTGTCTGGATATTGTGTGTGACACCTGCAGTGTCACACACCGGCTCTAAGTATTGTGAAGAGTACATTTTACTCTCCCAATACTTCTCCTTTAACTGCAGCAGAAAAAAAACTCAAGACTCCTCTGCTGCGAGACAGGGCTGTGCTTTGTGACAGACTGTATAAATCTCAGAACTGGATGGATCTGTGTATTTATCTAGTGGCTTTAATGAATACATAGATGAATGAAATGGTAGCTTTTTTTTAACATCTGCCTGGAGTCCAGCTTAAATAATACCGGGAAAAGAGCAGTGATTGTAAGTAGATCAGTCAAGTCACACAGATGGGCACTGGACAGGGATACTTGCTGAGCTGTTCTAATGCTCGATTGCCAAGTCTGAACGGTTGTACAAATAAGTCAGCATGTATGCCCCCATTCTATGGACATGGCTTTGCATTGGCCTGAACGTTGCATGCAACATTTGAGCTGTGCTGGCTATTTAAAGTAAATCTGTGTTTTGAACATGTAGGGAACTGGTAGATTGTATGGGTGTCAGTACCTTGGCATACAAAAAGGTTGGTCAGAGCAAATGAAGTGGGTATGCAAAGAAGGGGTTAAGCTTACATTGGGGGTGTTACAGCAGCCGTACAAGGCTCGAATATTGGCCAGTCAGCCTACGGGCTTAAGGACAGAAATCAAATTGATTCCCCCATCCCTTGCCGGCTATTGCATTCAGGAAGCTGCGATAATACCTTTATACAGTGGTGCTACCGAACAGTGACTGCATAAGATAGGATGTAGTCACTGCTCAGACGATTATTTTCCACCTAGCTCAGTCGATTTTTAACTTTTGTCGACCCAGACGGTACTTGCAGGACCACTCCCAGCACAAACACATCGCAGTGGGCTGGCTGTTGTGCATGGCCCCTTAGGATTAGGGCTAGGATTATAAGAAGAGCTAGAATTACAGGAAGGGCAAGAATGAGAGATAGTGTTAGCGTTGGGGTTACAGGGTGTGTTAGTGTTATAGGATTGCTTAGTGTGAGAGTTAATGTTAGGGTTACAGGGAAGGTTAGTGTTAGGGTTACAAGATAGGTTAGTGTTAGAGCTTGGGGTTACAGGGAGGGTTAGAGGAACGATTAATGACAGAGTTGGAGTTATAGAGAGGGTTTGTGTTGAGGATAAGGTAATGGTTAGGATTAAAGTTAGTGTTGGTGCAGAGTGTTAGGGTTACAGGGTGTTGTCCTTAGGGCAGGGCCTCTGCACTGCAGTTAAAATAATGAGTCCCAATCGCCCAACGCCGAAAGCGAATGTACCACCAATCTCTTACCAGTCAGATATTTGAACGCAGCATTGGCTCCAATACCCGTGACAGCTACCTTGCTGAACATGGGGAAGGACACACTGTACTGCTTCCTGATAAACAATTCAATCTCACGATCAGTGTCTGGCTCCTGATGTCCAAATTGATTACATGGGAATCCCAAAACATTAAAGTGGTAAGGTCCCAGGTCTCGCTGGAGCTTCTGCAGCGCCTTGTAGTGGCCGTCCGTGTACCCACACTGACTGGCCACATTCACCGCCAGTGACACCTGAGAAAAAGGAGACAAAAACTTTAGTAGGTGATTCAAAACCAACACTGAAAGTTCCTAGATGTTTAGCAGCACAGCAACAGAGTCCCTTTACCATCTTGCCACTCACATACAATGGTACTTTAAAAGAAGCAGTTTCTTAGAGAAACAAGGAGATTTGCATTGGCTTCAATACTTTGCGGTCTTTCTAAAACAATTCACAGAGCCATTCACTCACTGTGAATATCTATAAATGTTAGTTTTGTTATAAATACATGCAAAATCCTGTATAACAATAATTCTGAATGTTATCTATGTAATGTATTATGGCCACAAGATGGAGCCGAGGAGCCTAGAAAATTAATACTTATTTCCTAGGCTCCTCAGCTCCATCTAGTGGCCACAATACAATACTACATTACACATTAAACATTGATAACATTCAGAATTGCATTCTATCTGTAAAGAAAACCTAAACAACATCCATTTTGAAAGCGTTTGCACAAAACCAACGTTTATAGATATTCGCAGGGCAAATGGCCCTGTGAATAGTTTCTAAATAGATTCCTAAGTGTTCCTTACCTTGAACATGTATGGAAAGAAGGATGTCTGGTTTGACATATATGAGACTTGTTCTAGTGACTCAAACATTGTAGAACTCAGTAAGTATAATAGCCAGGTAACCAGCATATTCTAGTTGTCTGCTAACATGCAAGTCTCCATGTAAACTTTAAAGGATCATTCTATCCAAAATTGATCTTTCAGTTTTCCTGGGAGAAAATGCTTAAATTGCCCATCAGCTTGCTGTGCATCTCAGTGAGGAAATCATACTCTTTATGTGGCATTTTTCATTTTTTTACGTTCCCATAAATACAAATGGTACAACAAAGCTCCTTCTGCAACAACAGGAGTGAGACTCCATAAAGGAAGCCCGTCCATCTGGTCAGGGGATCTAGCCAATGAATTAAAGGAGAACTATGAGGTGAGTGCTTTTCACTCACCTCATAGTTCTAGCGGACCTGTGACAATGAGACTGTCACAGGTCGGCTCAGTAGTTCGGGAGGTGAGCGAACACATACCGGCGTTCGCTCACCTCTCGCTCTCTGCCGTGACAGGGGAGGGGCTGGATTCCCCCCCTCCCCGCTCCGATCCGCCAGCGCTGACAGGCGGAACGGACGGGGGAGGGTACAGCTGGCTCTGCCTTTAGATAGGCAGAGCCAGCTGTCAGTCAGCAGCTGGCGGATCCCAGGACAATTGTCGGGATCCGCTTTCTGTCGTGACAGGGGAGGGGCTGGATATCCCCAATCCGCCAGCGCTGACTCTAGATAGGCAGAGCCAGCTGTCAGTCACGCAGCTGGGCGGATCCCGGCACAACTGTCGGGATCCGCTTCAGCTGCGGCATCTCAGTATAGCGCAAGCTACAGCTCGTGGTATGCTGAGCTTTGGGTGACGGGAGGACGCTAGTTTGTGTCCTCCCGTTACCCTAAGGAGAACTATGGGGAAAAGACTTAACCCCATAGTTCTCCTTTAAATGACTGGCATAAGAATACAGTGATTCAATCTGCTGGTCTCCATTCATAACCAAATATTATCTGTGTGTGTGGGCTGGTACCTTATGCAACCCTTTGTAACAGCCAGTTTTTGTCAGATACCCCAAAAGCTTCCAATAAATGGAATGTATACGTTTTCATATCATTCAATATAGGAAATATACTTTTTCAAACATTTTCTTATGACCAGGACTAAATCATTTAAAGAAAAAATACAGCCAGGCAAATGTGAATGTGTGCATATGAATATTCCAGTCATATAATTTCCAGTCAGAAAATGGAGCTCTACACTCATTTTGTGTGTTCACCGGGCTAATCTCAAGTGCTGTGCTGAAAAAGCTTGTTGTTACAGGGCTCAATAAGTTAAAGGAGGATCATGGGGAGAGTGAAATACACTTATCCCCATAATTCAAGCTGACCTGTGACACTGAAGCTGTAACAGGCCGGCTCTACTGATCGGGAATCCAGCAAACACATACTGCTGATTTCCCCATCCTCTCCCTGCAGACGGCAGTGACTGTTTGTCACCTCTCCCTGCAGAGATTCCCCCCTCCCCATGGGGAAGGGGGCGGGTACAGCTAGCTCTGCCTCTAGATAGACAGAGCCCAGTGTCAATCAGCCAGCGGAGTGGATCACAACAGTATTGTCAAGATCTGCCCTGGCTGCGGTGCGGCTCTGCGCTCTCAGCATATAGCAGGCAATAGCCTGCTATATACTGAGTTTTGGGTCACGGAAGGACATTAGTATATGTCCTCCTGTGACCCTAAAGAGAACTATGGCCAAAAAAGGTTAAGTCATAAAGACGCAAATTTTGACTGGCAGCTTAAGAAACACTGCGGTCAATGGACGAACACAAATACAAATGTGGCAAAACGCACATGAAAACGTGCGGCACGTTTCCTGGCGTTTCCATTAAAGTCCATGGGGGAAAAAACGAGCTTGAAACTGCCAAAGGAAGCTCCTGTACTTTTTTTCTGCATTTGGCATTTCCTGCTGGCGTTCGGTTGCTCAGGTGTGAACAGGGGGCATTGAAAATCATGGGACTTCTTGTGCTGGGCGTTTTAAAGCGCTTTTCCTACTGTTCAAAAACGCCTAGCTGTGATCCAGTCCTAAGTAACGCTAAACTCCGGAGTTAAACCTTAAAAATACATTCAAGACCTTAAGGCCTCATTCACACAGCGTTAAGTCGGGCCGTACATGTCCATGCGGAGTGCGCGCCCATATCGTGGCCATTTCCAGGAGGGACAGGTGCTGCGCATAGCAGCCTGTTCTTCCCTATGGAAGGACGCATCCGTACGCACACCCGTGGGTCCGTACTCGGACGCAGACAGAAAGGGTCCTGTCTGCGTCCGAGCACGGACACATGGGTGTGCAGTTCAGATGTGCGTATGACGGCGTACGGCCGCGTCCTCCCATAGGGAAGAACAGGCTGCTGCATGCAATCACATGCAGCACCTGTCCCTCCCGGAAAACGGCCCGATACGGGCGTGCACACCACACGGACTTGCACGGCCTGTCTTAACGCTGTGTGAATGAGGCCGAGCTGTCAGCAATGTACCTTATTTGTGCATCACTCAGCTGTAGATCCTCAAATCATCTCTAAATTGGTGCTGACACCATACAATTTTAGGCCAGAAGATTGGTATAGGGTCACTTTAATTGGTTAAAGAGGCTCTGTCACTTTGCCCATTCAGGGGCAGCTTACATTAAAAAAAAGGTACTTAGGAAAAAAAATGATCTGCAATTGCGTGAAAAGAGGAAGGAGTAAGAGTATGGAAAGTGGAAGAAGGGGGTCAGGTTCTGCTAAGATACATCTCTGTGCCACATCTCCCTGATTATGACCTTTCTTGCAGAGGGTATGTACATGGCTCCTGAAAGCCTAACTAATATCTACAATGTCAGTCTTATACCTGCAATGTCTCTTATTTACTAACATGTAAGAATATTTGCACACATAGACTCAGCAATGCAGCATCGTGCACTGAGCCCCCTCTCTGGTACATGCCACGTCCTCAGCCCCTTAGAGGAGCATAGAGAAGGAAGGAGGGAGTCTCATTCCACCCCTATGGGCCAGAGACAGAATGTCAGGCAGACAAGTCTGCTATCATGTAGCTTCTCTCCGGATGATCTCTGTAATAAATGCAATGGATGCTACTTGTATTAACAGATCAGATGGCTGAATTTTGGATCGCAGCCACCGTTAGATGGGTGCAGCAGATTGCAGTAAGCTGCATGCAATTCTGTATGGAGATCAATGATTCGACTGAATGAGTCCCCGATCCACAATGATCAGATCAGTACAATACACAGATCAGTTACACATCGTTCATCGACTTAGATCCAGAGCCTGGATCGGCGGGGTATATCGGGAATTACAGGTAAGGTTAGTTGCAGTCAAAGCAGGGTGCCCGTTAGCCTGCATTGGGGTAGCAGGGAAGCGGTTCATGACTGGGGAAGGTTAGCAGAAGGAACCGGTTTAGTTGCAAAGTTTCTGATGGCTCCGACTCACCGATCCCCGGTACTTCTCCAAAGACACCAGCTTGCCCCTGATATTGACCAACTTAAAGGTGTAAAAATCCCGGTCCTTCTGCAGGGACGGGGCCAGGAAGCAGAAGAAGAGGAGAAGCACAGCTTGGTACATGGCGGCGGATATATCAACAGCTACCCGGTGAGCGGAACAAGGGATACGGAATGAACAGCGAACCGAGAAGAACTACATAATCAATGGAAGAGCCCCGACTCCCAAGCCTTCCGAGACTGGATACTTTTATGACACGCCCCTAACGTTCCATCTATAGAATTGGGGGCGTGGTCACAGGCAGCTGCTGCAACTGGAATAGAGCGAAGGAGAGCTGTATCAGTGGAAGAGTCCGAGACTAGATATGTTTATGACGCGCCCCTAAAGTTCCATCCAATGAATTGGGGGGCGTGGTTACAGGTAGCTGCAGCAACTGGAATAGTGCGTTGTTTCGGTAGAAGAGTGCGAGATTTGATACTTTTATGACACGCCCATAAAAAGTTCCAGCGAAGGAATTAGGGGCGTGGTCAGTCTGCAACTGGAATAGTGCGAAGAAGAGCTATAACAGTAGAAGAGTCCGAGACTTGATATTTTTATGACACGCCCACAACGTTCCATCGAAAGAGTTAGGGGCGTGATCACAGGCTGCAACTGGAATAGTGCGAAGAAGAGCTATATTAGTAGAAGAGTCCGAGACTTGATACTTTTATGACACGCCCCTGCTAAAGAATTGGGGGCGTGGTTACAGGCAACTGGATTAATGTGCTCTATCGATTCGGTAGCAGAGTTCGAGAATTGATACTATCTGTATCGTGTAAGTGTATTGATACACTTATGGGCGTGGTCTGGTTACTTGCAGCTGCAGCAACTGAAATAGTGAGAAGGCGAACAATTACTATAACAGTAGAAGCGTCCGAGACTCGATACTTTATGACATGCCCCTAATGTCCATCTAAAGAATTAGGGGCGTGGTTATACACAGCTGCAGCACTTGGAATAGTGCAAAAGAGATGTACCCTCCCACTCATACATATCATTAGAAGAGTCAGGAAAGTATCAAGCTCTTAGACTGGATATTTTCATGACACGCCTCCTCACGTTCCAGCTAAAGAATTGGGGACATGGCCACATACAGCAGCAGCTCCATCAACGGGAATAGTGCGAAGGAGATCCACCCTGACACATATCAATAGGACAGCCAGCGTGCTTGAAGCGTTCATGACACGCCCCCAAACGGCCCATATAAATAATTGGGGGCGTGGTTACAGGCAGCCCCAGCATCTGGAGTAGCGCGAACTCGAAGCGGAGGTACCCAGGCACAGTGGAGAGTGGAACAATGTTGTAATGGTTCTCTTCTGGGGTTAGCTGCATCATACGAAGGTCCTGGTGGCAAGGTGTTTTTGTATAGGGGATAGGAAGAGTAGCTATTAAGAAAACGGCAAAGTAGAACATTATGAGCAGAATTTACCAAGGAGCATACTAAAAGGAATGACAGAATGGAATGCCCATAGACAGAATCTGGAGCATGGAAACCAATCGGCTTCTAGCTTTCAAAGCAAAACTGAACAAGCTGAGATACAAGATACAAGCCGATTTGGTTACTATGCACAGCTGCTCCAGATTCTGTCTGCCCCAGTTTTAGTAAATTCCCACCTACTTTTTCCTTAATATAGTAAAAAATAAAAACCCCAGTGGTGATTAAATACCACAAAAAGAAAGCTCTATCTATCCCCAAAAAATTGTATAAAATTCATTTCAGTACAGCGTTGCATGACGGAATAAATGTCAGTCAAAGTATCGCAGCGCTGAATACTGAAAAATGGCCTGGACAGGAAGGGGGAGTAAACACCGTGGTCAGCAAATGGTTAAACAGGTTCAAAGAATGTCACCAGCACATGGAAAAATCCTCGCAAGATCACCAAATGTTCATTTTACAGAACAATCGTCAAAATGAAAAGTTTTCCTTTTGATGATTGTTCAATAAAATGAAAATTTGGCAATCCTGTGAGGATTTTTCCGTGTGCTTTGAGTCTGCTGCTAAAGAAGCTCATGTACCTTTTTAACTACCTCCGGGCCGGCAGTAGTAAAAGAACGGCCGGCCGGGAGCTCTCTAGATCTGAGCGGGTGTCTTTAGACACGCCCCTTCGCGCGCACCGCTGGGCGCGCGCAAGCGGGAGATGCCCGATATTTAAAAACAGGCTGCGATGCCTGTTAACATGCTCCCCGTATGTGATAGCAATAAAGTTTAGTGAAAAAAAAAAATAGAAAAAAAAATTAAAATTACCCACTCAAAAAATGTTTAAAGTTACACATAAAAAAGAATAAAAAAACAAAAAATTTTTTAAAGTCCCCAACCATACATACACGCATGCAAACATGAGCGGTAAAAACTTTTAAAGTGTCGTCTATGACCAATTTTGGGTATGGTAGTTTTCTGCGATTTCGCAGGTGCGCGCAATTTTAAAGCTTGACATGTTTGGTGTCTATTTACCCGACGTGACCCCGACTTTTATATTTTACCAAAAAACTGGGTAATAATAAATGTTTCCTAACATAATGTTTAAAAAAAACGTGTTTTTTTTCCCCAAAATTTTCAGTAATTTTTCCTAATTATAGTAAAAAATAAAACCCACAGTGGTGATTAAATACCACCAAAAGAAAGCTCTGTGTGTCCCCAAAAAATGCTATCAAATTCATTTAGTACAGCGTTACATGACGGAATAAACGTCAGTCAAAGTACCACAGCGCTGAATACTGAAAAATGGCCTGGCCAGGAAGGGGTCTAAACACCTGGTCTTCAAGCAGTTAAGCATCAAGTGACAGGCTACACAACGCTCGGAAAGAGCCTGAACTCTGCATTGCGTTTGGGTTGTGCATTTATTTCCGCCGCAGGTAAATTGTAACATATGATTAGATGGCTGAATTTCCAGGTCTAATAGGTTTTACAAATAAATATACATGATCAATAGTTTGTACATTATTCTCATTGTACTAAAAAAATCAAAAGTGTAGATCTAAACTGTGTCCACTAGGGGGCCTCACTTTCCTAAAAACAAAGCAAATGGGGGTGACGGTAACCAATTGGCATCTCTGGTTCAGGATAGTACTGGGTGGTTTAGGGCTCATTCACAGTGGCATCAAAAATGTCAGATACAGATGTGTACAGCATCCATATAGAAGTCTATGGGCCCATTCACACAGCTGTACCTGGCAGCGTAATGTTCTAAGCTAAAAGAAAACAACAAACAGGACAAAGCTGCGTAAGTTCTGCAGGTTTTTTGCAAGTTTGTGCAGCTGCTGATTGCACACTATTCATGTTTATATGTCGGCCGGAGTCATTCTGTGCATGGGCCGCTGCCACATGAATGAGTCATTCAGGGCCGGTGCAAGGATTTTTGCCTACACAGGTGAAAGAGCATTTTTTTTAATCTTACTATCTTCTACTTTTTATCATTTTAATTATTATTTTTTCATAAATGTTTATTTTATACATTTTTATTTTATTCACTTACCTGTATTGCCATCACACTGGAGCTAGCTAACAAGCCCCTGTGTGATAGCATTTGGAGGTGACAGGTTCTCTTTATTGAACCTGTCACCTTCAATAAAGGAGTTCTAGTACAGCACTAGTACAGAGAGGCGGCTCTGATCACACCTGTCAGCGCTCCCTCTCTCTCCTCCTGGCCGCTATGAAGCTGCAGCGGCCGGCAGGAGAGAGAGGGAGCGCTGGCAGGTGTGATCAGAGCCGCCA